CTTTCCCTAGAGGAAGTTTTCCTGGTAAGCATGGATTTCCAAGAACGTGCAATTAACAATTTACTCTACTTGGTTCAGTTAACCTTGTCATAGATCTTTATTTTCAGACATACATAAAATAATTTTAAAAAGTGCAAAAAACCAGGATGCAAATTATAATTTCTTTTCTGCTATATATCTGTTGCATACCTTGAAGTATTGCCAGTCCTTGTATTCATTCTGATTACAGTGTGTAATCATAATTTTGGATCCATCTGGTCCTTTAGTTAAGCACTGATCATACTGCATGAGTTGATTAGCTTCATTGATTCGGAAAAGCTAACAGAAAAAAAAAACCACCTTTTTAACAGTTGACTCAAAATAACAAGTATTTTAGAAACACTGAAAATACCAACAAAATCACATCATTCAAAACATTCCCTGGTGTTATTACATTTATCTTTCAGGAGGGCTCTTTATTTTACATGATGTAACACACTTTTACTATCACAACACTCAATTTCATGGATAACTTTCCTGTAGGATTCAGAAGGCTAAGAAACTTACCTAGCAAGATAAAAATGATAAAAATAAAGGCATCCCTATTTGGGAGACTTCTGAAAGTGTTTGATTAAAAGCCTTTATATGATTTGATGGCCAAACAATCCACTGTCTTTCTAAAGGTCTCATAGCAAGTCCTTGGTCCTGGACAGGAATTTCATGTGAAGACAGTAAAACTTTGGCATTTTACCCATGGAGGAAATCAAACTAATGCATCCAGATACAAAAAGATTATCCTAGCTACTTCTTGCAAAATAATTGCTACAGGGTTTTTGGGGGTAACATATACAGAAAAAGTAGTTCAGGGAACTTTTTCGTTAAATATCAAAATAAGAGAGACATTTCCATGGGCTACTAAGAGCTAACCCAAATATGATTTTTAAAAGCATCATCCTGCACGTGATTTCATGACTGCCGTGACAAAACTTGCCTGGTTCAAGTCTACATCAGCATAAATAAGGACTTTAAATGCTGAAAAGTTTTCCAACTGAAAAAGGAGATGTAAATACAGAACAGCGTGTTTGTGTGGTAGTGTGGGTAGGTTTGTGAAGATACAGGTCAAACATGATAGCAGCTTGGATTGCAACCATTGATTAGCAATTATGTTCTGCCAATTAATTTGTAAATGAAGCAGAGACAAATTTTTGTTCAATTTCTTGTCTCCTCTGGTGGAAGACGAGTCACTGCACAAAAGTGTTTTATACTTCCATTAGAGCAAAACAACTTTGTGAAATAATTGAGTGAGGGGATTGTTTCCTGAAGGATTAATTATTAAGTGAAGATAAATGATCAATCAGCAGCAATGCTAAGAGCTGCAGTTATTCTAATGCAGTGATATGGTTGCTTTAAAACACAGTTCTTGTTTTCTCATGGACCTGCTTCACTGAAGAAGAGATCGTGAATTTGCCTTCAATTTTGTACTGTTTGTGTTTGAAATTACATTTTCAGATTCCCGTATTTTAGCAAAGTCAGTATGCTTATGGAAAATCCCTAACTCCCATTTTTGTAGCTGGTACCTAAGTGACTTTACGTACAGGCTTAACAGAAAACTGGCCAGTTATCATCCACTGCAAGCAATTCTCCTTCAGACTTGCCTCCAAGCTCCTTACCTGGTTTCCTCCCATTCTGTGGCATGGCCCAAGCTCAACGAAGCCACCGTTGGTGTGCCCCATGCTATCGATGCAGTAAGTGGTTTCAAAGCCTCTAATCTGGAAAGAAGGTTTTGCACTCTACATTAGTCTCAAGGAAAAAATAAGTGTGAAGGAGTTCAGAAAATTCCCACTTATCTTTCAAACCAGAAACAGATATCTGCCAGAGTGATATGAGACAAACCTGCATATGAAATTTAAACACTGATGTTAACTGTTCTGGGAGATGGAGCTTCAAGCGGCCCATGCTAATTTGTGGGCTCTTACTTGAGTTAGAGTACACTGATAAAGTGAGAGCTGCAAAGCTCAGTTCCAAATTAATGCCACCAAAATGTAGGACTTTCAAGTATTTTAATTTATTCAATCTCCTATCAAAGCATGTTCAGTCTCCTAGGTCTTCATAAATAAAGCAGGAGGGCAGCTAATTTGCTCTCATCTTGCGGGTGAGAGAAACGTGATGCAGAGCAGCTATGCGCAGCCATTACTAAATGCAGCCAGGCACAGCCCACTGACCTGGCTGCTCAGAAGTACCTTCTGCGGCAGCAATTACACAGAAAAAAAGAGATAAAATCGATGAGGGGGCAGGCACAGGCATAGGAATACAGAACAAAAGTCCTGTCAGAAAGCATGCCTGAACTGCTGATTATCCCATTCCCTTCTCAGAAGGGCCAGCAAACAGCTTTACAAAGACTTTATGACACAAACAACATTCTTTCCAGACCTATTTTCTTTGCCAGAGCCGCCTCCTTCTTCTTTGTGACAGCAGAAGAAAGTCCAGAGGACTAAGCTTAGACCTGACTTCCAGAGAGCGTTAGGGAAGATGAACCCCACACTTTCATTCCCAACAGTCTGGAACTGCAATTAGTGCAGTGTTACAAACAGGTGGGGAAAAAAATGTCTCAGATGTCGGATAACTGGCAGCCAGTGCAGAAAAGTTGAAGAAAACTTCAGAGAAGTCTCTAAACTTCCGACTTTCCTGTTACTTCACCAGAGCCGTTTGCTTTCATCAGGGATGATCTCCTGCACGGTGGCCATTACTATTTTATTCTCTTCAGATACTTTCACCTCAGTGAGTAGTAATATATAACATGCCTTTCTAAATCCTTTATGTGGATTCAAAAGGAGGTCTAAGGCCAACGTAGTAACTGATGCCTTGTGCTAGCTTTTAGGTAAGAAATAAAGGTGGCATTGTTTACCTGGTCCCTCAGAAATGAGACTATTTGTATCCCCTTCCACCATGCACATGATCTATATCACTAATTCCTCAGAGAAGTTAGAGATAACACACACTTGGCCATAGGAAACAGCATAGATCTGTACTTTCTAATGCTCTTTTGAAGTTACAGAAACGGATCCATCATATCTTGGGAAAGGAGGTTGTTAAATTTGGTGGGACACAGGACTCCTCGCCTGCTAGTGAGACAACTTTCTGATTTTGCCTCCATGATCTACAAAAGTAAAATTGATAGGAGAGACAAGGCAAGGCTGGAAACAGCTGAAAAAGGAAAAAAACAAACAAACAAACATAACCCCAAGTCATTTGAAAGCAGGCAGGTGACCTGCAGTAAGAGCTCCTCAAGGTGTGGGCTAAAAGCGAGAATGAAACAGGCAGGGTTCAGCGAAGTGTCCTCCACCTGCCTGGTGACATGCTGTGTCAACCACAGGAAAATGCTGAATTTGTAACCACATCCTTAATTTAGCACAATCTTACTCTTATACATTAACGCTGGAGATGACTGTTACAGAATCATATCACACTATTACACGCAGATAAGGTATTTACTGAGGCTGTAACTGTATGAGTACATCACAGGCTAGCAAACATACGCAGAATGTACTCCACCTGGATTTCATGATCTATTCTCTAGGCCTTCACAGAAAAAGATTTTCACCTATTAATCTTTGCCAATACTCCTACACAAGCAGGATTCGCATTTTTTTCTTTTAAAGAAAAACTAAATTCCAATTATGGAAAAAAGAGCTTTAGACGTAACTGAAGAAAGGGCTAGAGATAAAAGAATCCTTCAAGGAACTATGGAGCTAATTAAAAAAATTGCACCTCTTACAGCATATATATTTTTTCCCTAGGGTTATATCTCTATAGCTCTCTGGCTAGTATCATATATCTTAGTATAGCAGTAATCAAAGAGCCTGTTCTCAGATTGATGTCAAGTAACAATCGCTTCCCTTTGAATTCCCAATTTAAAAAAAAAAGCTCCTAAAATAAATACAGGTTACGTGCTGTACTTACCTCTCCCCAGTCCACGTTTTTAGGTGGCAGTGGATAATATGAAATTATATCATATGCTATTTCTTCCATAAACCACTTAAAACTTTTGCAGTTGTGATCTTCACGGAATTTTTTCAGCTCAGATATATCTCCGTAGGGTAGCGCTTTTGTCTCTGGCCGACTTGCATAAAAATAATCTTTATATTCATCCCACCACACTTCTACAACTCTGACATAGTTCTGTGAAGAACAAGGACATTGCTGCTACCTCAAAGCACTCACAACAGGTCAGATGTAACCGCATGTTAATTACAGAAATTTAGGGATTTCTTCTCTTAAAAAGTGACAGCATGAAATTATTTTATAGCCATTTGTCACCTTCAGCAGATTATACAAGACACATGCATATTATTTTCAAATGACAGTTTAGGACTGAAGCCAGTAAAATAAACTGGCTTGCTTAATGAGAGTATGTAGTGTTTTTCTACGTTTAGAGAATGTTTATTTGAAAATAAAGACTCTTCAGTTATGGGTGCAATAGAGCCTCTTCAGTTATGGGTGCAATAAAACGTTGTGATCATTTGCTGTGTACCACAACTGCAATTCAGAGTTTGTATTCACCTTCTACAGCTTTAATACAGAGAATGATATGCATTAATCCACTAAGGGTGGAAAAATTAAGTCTTAAACGGGTCAGCTATGACACACCAAGGAGATTTTATCTTCTTAAGTACTTCATTGCTGCTTGGAGAAGGGGAAAAAATGGATAGCTCGCCTGGTGAACAAGCCGCTCCCTCACATCTTTTTTCTCAGTCTCTTTGATGGCTCTTATCTCTGTATTACCTGTACATGTTCTAGATGCACACCCCACTTTGTACAATTCTAGCATTAATGACCTGGTGTTAAAACAGTCTTAATAGATCTGACTAAAGGCACAAATTATTGTGCGTTTTACTTTAATCCACATCCAGCATAAATTGAACAAAGCTATAAAAAAAGCACATTTACTATGGGGATGGGAGGGTGCTCAAAGAGGGAGAAAGCTACTCCTGCATCCTGCCTTGTACAGAGAAGCAACTTAATATTTAAGAACACTCAGCAGTGTGGTGTTGTATTCAGTAAGCAAACAAGCAGACTCATGCAAGGTGTTTAGATATGCAGTAAATATTTTTGATCAGCTTTCCAGAAGAGTGAAATGTTTTTTATAATTTCAGACAAGGCAAACAAACATCTTGCCTGCACTGAGCAATGGAGCTATGATTTGCTATCCTGGCTCCCATTGCTCTGTCTCTACTCCCAGCTATGCCTGTTTCCCCCTACCCGCCCTTGTATGGGTCCTAGTGCTTGTTTGATCAAAATGTTAATCAATTCACATTACTAATAGAGGACTTTTTTTTTTGGGCGGGGGGGAGAGGTTAGTTCTCTACCATTAAGCGAGGCTGGGACATTCCCTTTTCAACGGAACCAACTGCTAACTTGGCTCAAGCCATACTCTGTAATGCTACCAGTCGTCATTGTCATAGGTAACGTCTAGGAAGGTGGCTCTGGGATTGGAATTTACAAAGAACTGGGTCTTTGGGAACGGGATTTACCAATGCCAAAACACTGCACAAGAGGAAGTTTAAACCAGGCAATAGGAAACCTTAACAGGAGGGTTGTCTCTCTTCCTGCTGGTAGGTGGAAGCTTACACGAACCAGCTTTTCTTGATTCAAGTTACCTTCTTATCTATCTAAAACTGTTGTTATCTAAAACCAAAAACCACCCTCAAGGTTGCAGCAAAACAGTACCTTTAATGTAGGAGAAGACCCAACGTACACAGGGGGTGGATTTCCTTGCCAACCCTGGAGACGATAGATGTGTCCAACACGAGAACAGGGAACAAACAACAGTTTTCCCCCACATTGCCAGATCTGCAAGTTAAAGCAAAGGTGGAGATATTAATATATATGCACATGAATTTAAGACAGACAAATAGATAATAAATTATGGAAGAAATGTCAACTACTTTTCTTACTGTACCAACTGTGTGATATATTTAAATATTTTCGCTTCAGATGTAAGCATAAACATAATAGGTCTCTGAAATGAAAGGCTGTTGAGTACATCTTTAACTCAGCCATGAAATTACTCAACTAAATTACTTTTCAAAAAAACCTTTTAAAAAAGTCTGCTATCTCATTCCATTGCTATTTTAAAACAACAGTAATTAATGAGTGCACGAAATCTGGAACTGGGTAATTTTTATTATGACAGAATTAATAATATTTTGATTTTATTAAAGCAATTCACATACCATCACTAAGATGGGTTTTGATTAGATGCCCATCACATTTAAGTTTTTCTTAATGAAGACTAGTAGGAGATAAGGATGTCTTTAGTAACTCATTGTTCCAAGAACAAACAGATTTTTCTTTAACTATAGTAGCCGAAAATAAAAAATGGGTAAAACATATCACCATTCTGAAATTCCCTCCCTCCCACACGTCCTTGGATAATCCATTTATGGGGAAAAGAAAACATACCTAAATCTGAATTTAGTTGCTCATAGTTTTGACAAGTTTGAAATGTAGCATCAAATCCCAATTCAAGCTAACTTTGGGAATGTTCCACATTAGTCCTAATTCCAGATTAAAGATATGATTTAACAGTATTAGGACAGATGGGCAGAATAGTTTACTTCCTTCATTGCACTATCATATGAATTTTCTTAAGTTTCATCAAAAAAAACCCCTTAGAGTGAAAGGCCATTATATTTGCTATCTAGGAGTCAGCATGCAAGACTGATAAATGTTACTTAGTTCTTCTGAAGATTGGTTGTGATCTACATGAAACCAATTTGGAGGTCTCTACATAATCAGCACTTCAATTACAAAACTACTGTATGTAATTTCAATCATGATTTAGCTCTAAGCAAGATGGAGAATTAGAAGGATAAAGACCCTGTATGTGTAACATCCTCAATAACTACCTTTTGCATATGGATTTACAGCTGAGCAAGTACACTCAGAGCTCTCCTCAAAATCATGAAGAGCAAGAGTAGCTAGGGGAGCTCTGAATGTACTTTTAGTAAAATTCAGCTACAATTTCACAGATCTCTGCTGAGGATATTACATGTCTCCACTTTTGTTTGTGTCATTATGAATACTGAAGCTAATGATTATCATCTTACATTTCCTGCTAACTGAAGAGCATGCATACGCCTAGGAGTGAAAATAAAATCTTCTGCAGTGATTATGAATTATGCAGTTACCGCTTCAATTACGAAGACTTCTCTTGTAAAGTTCTTGAAATTTTGAAAAGTATGAGAGATCATTTTTCACACATAAAAATGGTAGGGAGGAGGAAACCAGGTCAGATTACTTTTTCTTGCATCGTTATATACTTTAGAGACATGTATGCATAAACTGAGTGCTACTTGTTTTCTATAATCACTTTCATTAGAAACAGTATTTTTCTATACTCACCATGAGAGCACTCAGTACCCCCTCATAAAATTTGCCAGTCTGGTTTCAGATTAGATATTTAGGGTTGTGTGTCATCCCAAACCATTAACAAAATCTAGATTACTCAGCATTTGGGTCTCAGCACTAGGCCACCTCTCTGAACACTTCTGCCCCAAAGCCCAGAAGGAAACACTGAGGACACGTCTGCCACATCTCCTTGCAACAAAACCTACTGGGCTTCTTGAGACAGACGTGGTGCAAATCAGAGGTAGGTCTGTCTGAACTCCAAACAGAAGTATTTACAGAAAAAATATACACGAAACTGAATTAGTTTTCAATTTTTGCGGTTACCTTGTAAGAAATTTCAAAATTTTCACCACCCCAAATTTGAAGACCCGGATCATAGAGACCCAGTTCAAAGAAGAAATCGCGTTCAATGGCAAACAATCCACCAGCCATTGCAGGGGACCTGAAAGAGGAAGACAGTGTAACTCCTTCTGCCAAAAGGATATGGTAACACTTGGAGAAAGCATTGATTAAGGAAGCAATTCACTGTTAGCATATAATAAAGATTAGACAAATGGCAATACACTGAAAAATCATAAAGCTTTGTCATCATCTTCCAGTGATTTTCTGAAATGACATCTCTATAATTTCTAGTGGAGTCACAGATTTTACTGTTTTGTTTTGGTGGGTTTTTTTTGGTTTTGTTTTTTTTTTTTTTTGAATTATATAGAATTTTGATTGGAATTATCCATTCAGCCAGCCAGCATGCTTCTAGTAAAGTAAAAAAGATAAGAATCAGTGTGGCAAGACACTTCTCTCTTGAAGGTTGTTCAAGTTTCTGAGGTAACATATGAGACCGTATAGCAGACTTAAAGCTTATGCTCTGAGGAGCTGCCACATTGAAACTTATTGTCTATTACACAAGCAACATAGTTTTTCCAGCTAAATGATACCTTTCTATCCTCTCCCTCTGGCTTTTTTTCTACCACTGCCATATGAGACACTTTTCATTATCCTCAGTGAAATTTTTAAGAGGGCCTGGATCAAGTTCATAATTTCTCTCTCTCTCTTTTTTTTTTTTTTTTTTAAATGGCTCTGTACATCTCTCCACGTATGCCGGGGTTCAATTAGCAAGCTTTAATGCGTCAAAAATACATTGTGATTTGGATTAGACCATGTTTGCAGGATGATTCTATCCAAAATTCTTTGGTTGCTTGCTCACGCTGAAATAGAAAGTAGGCTATGTTAAGCCATTTCCAGCACACGTACCAAGCATTTTTCACCTGAGGATCAATAAATATATAAAAATCCTAATGGATAAAAGCTGGAGTCCCCACTAAGTTGGCAATTTAAAAAAAAAAGCTGGTAAGGAAAAAGTGAATTCTTTCTGACTTCAGATGGTCTGCAGCACTGAAAGGAGGAGGATCCACGAGTCCAGATCACTCTGGGGAGGCAAGTAAAACACAAGTGAAATATTCCTGCATCACCAAGGTAATGAGAGATGGGTCATTTCTGGCGCTATTCAGTCTCTTCATTCCATTAGATTTTTAACTTAGTGGTGCTCCTTTTAACAGTAATGATTATGTATTTCCCCTCTGCACATAAATGTCTGGAGGAGAACTGCTTAAGAAAAAATAACCTGCAGGGTTAGCACACATGCCCTCCACATAGCAGGGGCAGGGCAACAACAAAACCAGAGCTGCTTGGTCTATCAGCTGAGCTAGGCATGACAGTTATCAGTTTAGTTGCTCTCCAAATCACCTGATCAGAAGCCGAGTTACTCCTAAATGTCCCCTTGTACTTGTCTGCCTACCGCGTTTTCCTCCAACACGGCTGCTGCATTGCAGGGGTGCAAAGGGTAGGAAGCCAGCGAGCACCGCGGGGAGAAGCATGCTGCATAGCACAGCCCTGCAGCTTCCCTGCATTTTTGGTTTTCCTCAGCACCATCAAGACTCGGCAAGTGTAGAGGTCTCAGATACTTAAGTTTCAATCTTCTTTCTCCAACATGCTCTCAAGCATGTTAAAGAACACAGTAAAATCCACATAAGCTCAGTAGTTTATTTTATGGGATATGAAGAGGTAAGCGCAATGTTTCTGAAAGAAGGATTCAGTCCTGAGGCAATTCTCACATTAAAAAAGTTTGCTTCTGCACTTTAAGCTGTTGAGTTTTGTTTGTTTGTTTGTTTTCTTTTTAAACTGGGCAATCCTGGTTACGGTTTCAGCAAGACTTTTACTTGGTCTTATTTGCCTTGGTACTGCTGCAACAAAATGCATACAGCCTGGAAATAAAAGAGATGGAGGGAATGTCTCTTTTTAGAAGCAGCATTGTAACTCTGAAAGTCTTATTAAAAATAAAGTCATCTTTTAAACCATTCTGAGAACATGTGTTCTGTGTTTCTGGAAACGGTTTAAAGGGTTTTAAGACCTGTTTGGATGGTAAACACAGAACACAACAGTGATGTTTGAAATAGTTTATCCCCCTCTAAGCGAATATTAAAGTTCCAATGTGGACAGCCTTGTCAGAAAATGGTATTATTTATACTGTATACAAAACAGATCAAAGCTTCATAACTTCCTTGCATGTGTTGCCATTTTAGCAGAGAACAATCACGGGTGAGGATAGGGAATTACCAACATCAGTTCTTACAATGTTTAAATCATATATACAAGCAATAGAAGACATTAGATTCTGAAGATGTGAGGATTGCTTTCAAATGTAGTAACACGATTAGTTAAGTGTGAAGGCGAAAGTAATAAAAAACAGCAGAACCACAGTCTCCCAGTCTTGAAAAGCCATCCAGAAACCCTAGTTTCTAAGCTAGGGTTTCTAGCCAGTTTCTGCTTGCTGGGAGGAACACATACCCCCCTACAAAGCGAAAGAAAAAGGTGGGACTTCTGTGAAAGTTATTGGAGTTTTCCCAGAAAATAAAGTGGTCGGTTTTTCTTTCTTTTATTTTTTTTTTATGTTATGTGTATTAAATTAAAATCCCCACACATACTGAGACCTTAGAAAATATCTAGCCAAGATTCTTAAACAGTATGCTTCTTTGTCAGATGTGATCTATTATGAAGCAAGTGGGAGAAATATGACAAAAGGGATTTTTCTGATGCACATGCATAATCCATGAGCTGTATGCATGCATCAAGCCGTGATAGCAGGCTACAGATTTTATGCATTACTGGCTATTATAAATACTCACAGCATGCTTGTTATTTCAAATCAAATGGTTAAATAAGCACAGTTGTTTCCAACACTACTTTTAAAAAAGTGTCATAGCTAAATAAAGTTTCCCCTGGAAACAAAATCATACAATATTTTATTTTGCCAAACAAAACCCTGTCATTCTAATGTGCACCCTATTAACCACACAAGAGCAGGAACGGAGAGGCAGCACAAGGTAGCAAAGGTATTTTAAGCACATAGTCAGTTGTGGCAGACAGGTCTAATTAAACAAAGCAGCTGGTGTGGTTAGAAATATGAAGATTTTCAGGGTAGCATTCCATGCAAGTTTTAGTGGATAAATATCGACTTCAGAAAAAAAGGAACGGGTAAGCGATTTAGTGATTACCGATACGGTTCAGTTTTTGTCTTTCTGCTTTCCTTCTCTCGCTTGGTCAAGGGAACCCTCTTCCATAGCATACTCCAATCCCACGCTCCTCTAGCAAACCCATCTTCGTCACCACCCCCTTGTGGCACAATCTTATAAGTGTTGCCGTCTATGGCATCTATAAGCGGCACAGTGCATGTGGTTCTGCAGGGTGGCGGATGGCGGCAGGGAAGACGCGGTTATGTGCAAGGACCCGCGTGGCACACGTGCACCGACCGTAGTTTATGGGAAAAGAGGGGGGAGGGAGGGAAAAACGAAAGGGTTTAGACAATTATTCATTACGATTCACAGTATGTAAACAGCTCTCTTTACCGATAAGGCTCAGTTTTATGTTTTCGTTTGGACTTTTCCTTGTGGCTTAACGGAATTCGTTTCCATAGCAAACTCCAGTCCCAGGCCCCTCTGGCAAAACCATCTTCATCCCCACCTTGTTGTGGCTCAATGGAATAATCATTCCCATCTATGTAATCTATTAGAGGTACAGTACATGTAGTTCTGAAACATTTATAGAAGGGAAAGAAAGAGCAAAATACAATTTCAGAAGAGTAATCTGTCTAATCTGAAATTTACACCATTAATCAATAATTTTATAGAGCAGTTTATATGAAGAGTCACTTGTAAACATACTAAAAAACGAAGCCTCATTAGAAGAAAAAAGAGATAGTCCTTTCTTCATGTTGTTTTAAGAGGTTCTGAAAGCAGAAAAGTTAGGTCTGAAATGCTAATATACCAATTCATTTACCAATACTTTTTCCTTTATGTGTATTTCTTGACTTCAGTCTTCTAATAAAGCACTGCTGGAGGCAACACAGGAGCTTTTAGAGGGCTAGGGTTCTCACAGTATTATTATTTCCCGTAATTTCTATTCATATCAGATCTTAGCTGTCAACAAGTACGATAAACTCTTAGCTTTTACTAGCATAAATATGGATTTTCACTATTCTGTCCTATTCAACTGCCCTGGAAATCCAACCTCTCAGGATAAAAAAAAAACATTCCTGGTGCTCCTAGCAGCAGTCTTCAGTAGAATTTTTCCTTTTTGATTTGCAATGTGCTCCTCATTGTGATCTATCATATAGAATATTCACCAAGGAAAAAGACATTATCTTGTTATTCTCCCCAAATTTTCCAAATGAGTTTCATGGTGACCAAACTTGGAGCACTTCCATCTTTTTAAGTCAAATCCTATGATACAGTACAACAAGGTGGTGGTGGGGGGAAGAAACACTAATGCTGTGCTCTTCTTTGAGGCAGAAGTGGCAGTACGCTGCGCCCAGGGGACCAGGGCTTGGAAGGAGGCTGCCGAGCGCTGCCCTCTGGCACCGCATGCCTCAGCATCCCTGGTCCTCCCGTAACCTTCGCCTCTGTGGACAGTGCTGGAGGATGCCTCTAAAGCTGCCTGTTCTCACCTGCCTTTCTTGTGTAAAAGAGTAACACACACTCGATGGAAGCACACAAGCATTTCCACCTTCTGTCTAGTATCCTGGCCCAAATATAGTCTTGAAGCTGAGTTGCAGCCTTTAAAACACACAAAAACCACCTCTTCAAGAAAGTTCTGGTAGTACGACAAGTTAACAAATAGTTTTTAGGATTAAGCAGTTATTTTATGGGATTAAAGAGTTTAAACAAGCACATGGTTTCCTAAACACACACACACACTCCCCGACCACACAACCTCAGAGTGCGGTAGCACACAGCAACAACAGCATTTCAACAGCTGGAAGAAATGAAGCCCCTGGGGATCCCCCTCCCCTGTCACCTCTCGCAGATCCCATGCACACAGTGCAGGCATTTCCACCACTGACTCCTAGCAAGCCTCTGGGCTTGCAGCAGAGACAGGCTCAAGCCCTGGCCTCGGTTCGCTAGAGGCAATGCTCCAAAGTGCTTCAGAGGAAACAAAGAACACCATATTGCAAGACCAAAGATGAGAAAGTTATAAAACTGTTGAGATCACAGGGGCTTTAAAACCCTGTTAAATCTAAACACTTACTGCTACTGTTCCTTTACCAAAAATCACATTTTTGTTTAGTTATTTTGTTTAATCAGGCTCCTTATTCAGCTAAAACAGAACATTTTTATAACAGTCCCTTGGATCATTGCGAAAGACAAGAGTTGTCTTATATGTAATCTATACTAAGCAAAATATTCAGTATGCTTGTTGAAATAAACCATCCAGAGATTTATTTGCCTGACTATTTTCCTTCCTCCATACATAGATTTTATGCTGGGAGGTAATAAAATCATCATACAGCAAATATTGATATAGTTTGATATAGATATATATTGATAGAGATATAAAACATACTGACTATAGTTTGAAAAATGAAGAAGATTGTTACTGTGACTTTTTCTTCCTAAGAGGCCAGACACTGGAAACAACAGGAGAACATTACCTGTCCTTAGATATAGGAGCTATAAGTGGCGCATACCAATTAATTCCCACCTCACAATGGGCATCAAGGTAAACCAAAACCTTCAAAAGAAAAAAAAAAAAAGTAACTTCTATTTCTGTATACGAGATCAAGATGATTTAATTAAGCTTATTTACATTGAAATACTTCCATACTATAAAGAAAAAAATGAAGCTTAAATGAGGAAAAATTAATCTTTTTAAAACAATATCGATAATACAATATCACGTTTCTACACGTCTATTTGAACATAGAACCATTACCACCTCTCCCCCCAAAGAAGAAAAATAAGACAGACTTGTGTGTGAACTGGCTCTTACCCGTCCAAGTTTAGCCTTCTGGGCTCCAATGCTCCTAGCTTGGATTAAACCTTCTCTCCTCTCATTTCGAAATACCTTTACAAGGCCGTTCCACTGCTTAATATACTCATCCAGCCTCTCTTTTAAGTGTGCTATCAAATAACAAAGAAAAAGATTATTTTAGTGAGGTTTAATAATAAACAGTTTTGTACTCTTAATACAACCCAAATCCAACTCTACTTAAACCTGAAGAGATCAAGACTTGGAGCTCTCTGACTTCATGGCACAGGTTTGTCTCTGGCACATCTGAAGAAAAAGCAGGTGAAGTGGTTGGCCGTGCCACAGGGGAGCTGGGTGGACAATTCCCGGTCACTTCAATATATCCCATAGTGGCTTTCAGGTCTCTGCCTGGTTGAAATACAGGCGTAGAAGTTTCTACACTTAGGCCCATGTTCTTTCCTCATCAGATAGTATCACATGTACAGCTGAAGGCACCGCTTTTCAGTTAAATGTTTCTCTTCACTCACTTTCTGCCTCACAAAATTTTCTGTCAGTCTATTAAATCTGGAAACCTGAGACGGAAACCCATCATACTCAAATTATTGCCCTATCTCATCTAGACCTGCTCCCTCTTGGGGTTGGGGTAGTCTTATGCTAATCTTCTAATGAAATTAGTAATAAGAATAATTTGAGGGCCGGAATTGCAGTGAACACGCTGTGGCTCACCATACTGATGAGACAGGAAACCTTTACCCAAAGGGACTTGGTCAGTGAAGGGATGAGTAACCGCATAAGAATCAAGATGGGCTACGCTTAAATGGTTACAGATTTGTATTTGCACATTGGTCTTTGCCAAACTGATCTGGAAACCACATTCCTACCACACAGTTTGAAAAAAGGATCTTAGTGTTGCATAATATTTTTGCACAGATGATTCTGTTGAAAAAACTCACAAAGGCAGAAGGGCTGGCAGTCAGGCGCTTGCTGTTTGAGGCTACGCTGATTTAACTACTGGCATTCATCTAAAATCTATTTTTGTACTGAAAGGCTCGAAAGAATTGCCTACAGCTTCAGTTTCTCTCAGTTGGAAAACCAAAATAAGCCACCTAAGCTACAGCTGAGGCACCCACGCACCGATTTGCACCAGCTCTGCGGGACAGCTACACGCCATGCCTGTGCTGATCCAACAGGAGAGGGGACGTGCAGAGAGGGAAGGGGAAGGACGTCCCCTTCAGCAGCAACGAGCCACCAGGCTGCTTCAGCAGCAGCGGTTTCCGCACCCTGGACGAAAATGGTTGAAGTCTGGAGCTTGCTGCAACTTACGTTTCAGCATGTTTTGTATTCTTGCCAAAAGCATTAAAAAAATCCCTAGTTTAAACAAAAGCTACATATAAATAATTGAAATAGCGATGGTGTTTTTTGGAAGTGAAGTTTCCAAACTTGAAAATTCAGCGATTCTACCAAAGAACAGTCTTCTGAAGCCACTATCTTTTATAAAGGTAAAGAGGAGGGATAAAAGAATAAGTTTTCTCAACTAGAAGTTTTACGTATCTACTTCTCCTTTCCCACACACATTTACAGTTTCTTTTGTAAATCCTTGTGTGTAATGAAAACTTCAAGGATACATAAATATCAAACTAGAGAAAGAAATATTTTATCACATATGCTGTATAGAATAACATGCCATGTAATATATATAGAATATATGATATGATAGCTGTGATATAAATTTTTATAGGATAAATTCAACAGAGTTATGAGGTCACACTGAAGTGGTACTAAGAGAATCTTCATACCACATCATTATTTATTCTGCAAATTCCAAGTACATGTTACAGAAGGGCTGTCAGGAATGTTTTAAAGATTTAAATCCTGAAGTTATTTCCAGCTCTCCTGCCTATGAAGCCAAATGTTTTAGTTATCAAATGTTCAACTATGTAAGGCTCACGGGGAGCTGTAAAACCCTGTCATACTGACTGTGTAAAGCTTTTCTACAGTATAAGTCTCAGGACTTTGCAGTCCGTTATCTGAAACCATGCCAGGGCTAGCAGCAAGTGCTATTTCCCATAGGAAAACTGAATCCCCCCCCCCCCCCCCCCCCCCCCAGCAAAACAATCTCAACACAACATACATAATGAA